GTACCGGCACCTGGTACCACATAATAAGGGGAATACCGGCACTGAATATCAAGGGGAGTACCGGCACCTGGTACCACATAATAAGGGGAATACCGGCACTGAATATCAAGGGGAGTACCGGCATCTGGTACCACATAAAAAGGGCAGTACCAGTGCCTGGTACTGAATAACAAGGGGAGTACTGGCACCTGGTACTGAATAACCAAAACCATTCAATAAGCATTTGACAGGGTTGTTTAACGGTTCAGTTTGCAGTTACAGTTATAAAACACTGCCTGTTTATTTTCCCAAATATTTTTAAACTAATTCATTCGAAAGACTGTGATAAAGTTTTCACATCTATAAACTAATACATACACACAGGCTATTAAGAGCTAAATGAAAGCCTAAATAGTTAGAACTGAGTCCCGCTTCCTCTCACATACAGACGGTATCCTGTACACATACAGACGGTATCCTGTACACATACAGACGGTATCCTGTATACATACAGACGGTATCCTGTACACATACAGACGGTATCCTGTATACATTCTGATAATCGCATGCTTCTCTTTGGAACAGCAATAGTATGTTTTATATTTACTCATGTTGTCACAAGGCAGTGATTACTCTTTGCATTTTAATTTGGGATCATTTCGCATTAAAAACAAAAACTGTATGCATTAATTACTATTTTTAAAAAGTGACCCCAAATTTTTCTAAATGCCCCCATTTTTTAGACAGTGAGGGCAAAGGTTGCCCCCAGATATTTTTTAAATTTCCTACACTGCTGCAATGTGCAGTGTATGTAAGGCCCGTGCTGATCTTTCTTAAGTCTGAACATGTATTCAGACTAGATGTCTTCATTTATATTCTTTCTACCGCCTGGTTAATTGCTACTAAAAAGTTTATCAGTGCTCCATCATATAGTATGTATATAGTATAGCATCTTACTAGTTTATATTATATTACTGCTGCTGCCTGTAGACTTTGTTACGTATTTATGTTAATTTATATTCTTATTCATTTTTCTGTGGTGAAAGGAGAATGTGCAAAGTCAGAATTTCATTGTACAGCGAAACTGCTTATCTTCTGTGGATATGACAATAAAACTCCTTATAGCTATAACTCTAAATAGATTGTACTGGAGAATTATGTGTCGAAATGGTTAGTTCGGGTATACTATGAATTTTTATGATTGATTTCCTTGTTATATTTCGTTTAGCCAAAGATTGCACAATTTCCACTTTAAGAAATATTTCTATGGATGTTGCTACTGAATAAAACAAAAAGATCAGATCTGTGTAATTCATTTTGACCGTGGATTTCTTCCTATAGCGTAGTTCTTGTTAGAGCAACATGACTATTATATTTCCTTATTCTTAGTGTACACAAGAAATGCCACTTGAACACTAAATGCAGATAGTTTGCCATATTTATTTGAAATATTATCTCATTTAATGCTTAGTGGTTGATAAAAGGGAAAAAAATATCAGATAGGTATGATTTCGGCAGATACTCAAAATTTCAGTATCAGGATTAGAAAAAAATTATACTGTGCTATCTCTGCTAAAAATATTATGCACATTTTACATTGCTAACTACTTTACAAGCTGCCCATAAATCAACAAGGGCATTGGTAAAGACTTGTAGTCAACTACGAGCTGCCCGTAAATCATAGCTCCCCAGTTAGAATGATTGTTTTGGTGTTTCCTAATTGTTATTGGTTTAGTTTTCCTTGTAAGTAGTTTTGTTTTCCTTTAAGTATTTGTTATTCAGATGATCTGCAGCTGGGAATTCAGTGTGAGGCTGTGTCTGTGTATGTGACTATTGTACAATCACTCATTCTTCTGCCTTTTAATTGGATTGACCTTCTATGGGTTGTTAGATCCAGACATGCGAGCATTTTACATCCTAAGCTCGCCATTGAAGTATGACAGTAGAATGTAAGGCAGCTGTTCAGGTTTTCAGTTTGAAGAAATGTTTGGCAGCAAGACGGACGTGCTTGTTTTCACCAGCAAGACGGACGTGCTTGTTTTCACCAGCAGCCATCCGCTGCCGACGCTGCCTGATGTTTCAGGATGGACACGCTGCCGGTCTTCACCGTGGGGAGCAAAGCCACAGGAGACACCACAGAAGTGGACAATCCAGTTCATTCAATGTACCATACCAGTCCTGTTACAGGAGTATTCCAGTCACTGCAATTTCTTCTTCAGTTACATAACTCTCATAAAGATTATTAATCAATGATTCATACATTTTGTATTTTTATGGCCGTAATGGGAGTTGATGACAGTATCAGAGGTGTTCTGGTGCTGGTCTGAAATCACATAAAATCACATAAAAGTATCATTTGAGAGCTGTTCAAAAACTGCATACCAGCCTTATAACTGATCTTTTCAGTGGAACCCTCCTTCTGGCTGTTAGACACACAGAAACCAGCCTTGTATATTGACAAATAAGATGCAGCTACAAATAATTTTTACATTACCTGTAAATCAGCGAGGGCATCCGCAATGGCATGTCTCTCCACAAGGTGCCTGCATTTGCACAGCGCTAAAGAGGCTACCTGTCCTGTTTCACTACAGGTTGCCATGATGATCCTGGGAGGCTCGCAACTCATAACTGGAATACCAATGATGCTCGACATCATGGGGAACAACGCGGTGTACGGGGGGCTGTGGCTCGGGACTGTGGTCTGTGGCCAGCTCTCACCCATTCCACATGCCCATGTCTGGCATGCACTAGCGAGTCTGCCCCTCCCCCCCATCCCACTGCAGAAACATCTGTCTGCATGCTGCAAATGTACAGCTTCCTCCCTGTCATCTGATTGGTTGGTGTCAGATTAAGTTGGTCTACATTATTATTATTATTATTATTGTTATTATTATTATAAATAATAATAATAATAATAATGGTAGTAGTAGTCCGTTATTTTATACAGTGTGAGAGACACTTCTGTTAATGTTGTACACTCATACATAAGCTTGTATTGTTTGGTCTAAAACCGGTATATGTCAGTTCTTTTGTAACTCAATGTCACCCTCAGGCTTTCACTTACTGTTGACTTGTTTGTTCCTGACCCAGCCCAGTGACGTAAATGTTTTAACCAGCCGGTCCTTTATATTTTTCACACTCAATAAGTTAACTTTCAGAAAATGCATGCCATTTTTCACCCTTACTTTCAACTGTGTGCCTTTTATATGATTATACAACCCCTAATCAGAAAAAGTTGGGACAGTGTAGAGAATGCAAAAAAACACAAGATGTCTAAATTTCTTTTGCATTGGTTTGTAGACAATATGAACATGAGATATGTGTCTGGTCAGCTTTATTTCATCTGTAAATACAGGTGCTCCTTGACTTATGATGCGGTTACGTTCTAATGAAGCCATCGTAAGTGGAAGATATCGTAAGTCAAATATGAATACGACATGTCAGGTCAGGTTGGGCGGCATGCGCTGATGCAGCACGTTGCTGCACCCACCACATGGCGAAACTCCTTGGGATTCCAGCTAGCGACCCCTCAGGCAGACACATGGTCCAGTCCCACCCGCTGGAAATGGCCATCCATCTGCCGTAACCAGGTGTTACACGGACGTCCCTTTGGCCTGGTCCAGCCCCTCAGATCCTCAGCAACGAGGATCCTGTGAGCCGGATCACTGTCAGGGAAACGCGCCACATGGCTGTAGTGTCGTAACTGATGCTCCCTCACAATGCAAGTAATGTGCCTCATTCAGGACTCCCTGAGCAACCACTCATTCAACACAAAGTCAAACCAGCGGTACCCAAGTATTCTCCGAAGAGACACAGTACCGAAGGAGTACAGTCTTCATCTCAGCTAACAGGATAGTCTCCATGTTTCACAGTCATACAGCAAGACAGAGAGCACCAGGACTCAACCTTCATCCTCTTGCAATGATATCGGGAGTGCCACACACCCCTTTCCAGTGACCTCATGACCCCCCCATGCTCTCCCAATCCGTTTGCTGACTTCATAAGAAGAGTCACCAGAGACATGAATGTCACTGCCGAGGTAAGTGAATCTCTCGATGAGGTCGACATTCTCCCTACAGACAGACACACTACTGATGCCTGTGCCTAAGAAGTCATTAAAGACCTGGATCTTGGTTTTTATCCAGGACACTTGCAATCCCAGACACTCAGACTCCTTGCTCCATCTCTCAAGACCCCTGATCAGAGCCTGTATTGACTCTGTGAAGATCACAGCATCGTTGGCAAAGTCAGGATCAGTAAAACTTTCTTCACCACCAAATGCTCCACAACTGCTGGACCCTACAACCCTGCTCACCACCCAGCCCATGCAAGCATTGAACAGAGTAGGAGCAAGAACACACCCCTGGCGAACCCCAAAATCAACTGGGAAGAACGCAGTGGTCCTCCCTCCACTCTGCACAGCACTCACTGTACATGTGTACAGGCCAGTCATGACGTTCAGAAGCTTTGGGGGGATCCTGACTCCCAAATGGAAGCAGAGATTGCCTGCAGTGCCAGTAGGACAGCCTTACCACCATCCTGGAGAAGTTCACCCCGAATACCACAGATCCTTGCAGCCTTCCCTACCCCCAGCTGATTCACAACCCATGCAATCTCAGTGAAATTGGGTGGTTCACAACTGATTGGAGGATCAGCCTCAAGAATCGCGGACGCAGATGTCCAACATCCTAGCCGGAGGATCAGCTTTAAACAACTGCTCAAAGTAGCCAGCCCAGCGGGTCACAACTGCAGTGTCATCCGTAAGGACTGTTCCATCATCCACCCTGACTGCAAGTCTCCGAGGAGCAGATTCAGATGTAGGTAATGCTTTGATTCCTCTATCAGCAGGACGTGGGTCACTAGACCACAGATGATATGTCACCTGCTCACAGATTCGTCTAACACCTCCTTATCTGCCCTCAGAGCCCTCACAGCTGTCCTTCTGAGTTCCCACTACAGACTGGAGTTGCCACCAATTCGCATGCTGTGCCTCTTCTCGATAATATCCAGGGTGCCCTGTGAGATGAAACACCTCCTTCTGGGATTACCAGCAACACCAGCACAACCCTCGGCAACCTTCAGGGTCTTATCAAGGATGGTTTCCCACATCACATTAGAGTCGGCAGTCACACCCAAGTGCCTCACCCAAACTGCAAGCAAACTCAACAGCTTGATCTTGGAGTCTGGCTAAGTTCAGCCTTATTCTCCTAGTAGGTGATTGCCTACTGGATCTAACCTAAATCTTCAGAGTAGCAACAACAAGTCTTTGGTCAGAATTCACAAGCTGGGCACTTCTGTAGACCCTGCAGCTTGGCAGGAGCCTCCAGCGTCTGCCCAGTGAANCAGCAATGTCCTTCTTAAGGTATGGTGACCAAACCTGCACACAATATTCTAGGTGTGGTCTTACCAAGGAATTGTATAAATGTAACATCACCTCCCTTGACTTAAACTCCACACACCTAGAGATGTAACCCAACATTCTATTGGCCTTTTTTATTGCTTCCTCACACTGGCGAGAGTGGGACACGGAAGCATCAACAAACACACCGAGATCTTTCTCTTGATCAACCTTAATTTCAGTGGAACCGATAAAATATCTGATTGTTTGGATTATTGATTGATTGTTTCTGGGATGCCTTCAAAGGTAGCAGGGGCAACCAAGCAGAAAAACTGTTTGACTTCTTGACACATGAGGGTTTGCAGCCCCCTTATTTGCTCGTTATGACACTGAATGACTGGCACTGAATATCAAGGGGAGTACCGGCACCTGGTATTAAATAACAAGGGGAGTACCAGCACCTGGCTCTGAATAACAAGAATAGTTCCAGCATCTTTTACTGAATAACAAAGGGAATACCAGCACCTGGTATTGAATAACAAGAGGATGCTGACACCTGGTACTGAATAACAAGGGGAGTACCGGCACCTGGTACTGAATAACAAGGGGAGTACCAGCACTTGGTACTGAATAACAAGGGGAGTACCAGCACTTGGTACTGAATAACAAGGGGAGTACCAGCACTTGGTACTGAATAA